TTTTTATTTAGTAAGGAAGTAACATGGAGAAATAAGTTTCACATCAAAGTAGAAGAAAGAAAAACCCTACAAAATTACCTAAATATAAACACAATTTCAATAACCTGAAAAGATACATTCACAGAAAAAAATGACAGAAAAGAAATAATATATTTTTAAAAAAGAAATAATATATTGAAATACTAGTAGTTTTCTCTCAGGCTATGGGATGATGAATAATTTCTTTGTTTTTATTCTTTCCACTTGTCTTAGTTACTGTTCTCTTGTTGCTGAGACAAAATAACTGAAGCTCAAAATGAAGGAAAAAAGGTTCATGTAGCTAACAGTTTGTGGACATTTCAGTCCATACTCAAGCTGGCTCTGGGGCAGTGTGGTGTGCCTGAGTGGCAACCATATATGATAGCAACTCCATGAATTCCAGCAGAAGGAATCCACCAGGCAAGGCAAACAATTAAACGGGGGGGAGTAGGGGGTGCCAACAACAGGAAAATAACATAATAGTGATAAGTCAATACATATTGGTTATCACCATCAATGTTAATGGTCTCATTTCACCAGTAAAAAGACCCAGACTGGCAGAATGGATCAAGAAGCAAGACCCAACAATATGCTGCATAGAAGAAACACAATTAAAAAGAAATCCATAGACAGAAAGTCAAAGGATGGAAAACAATACTCCATGGTACAAGAACCTAGAAAAAAACAGGGGTACTATTCTATTTATAGACAAAGTGAATTTCAAGCCAAGACTGATTAAAAGAGATGAAGGTCACTAGATCCTTCCAAAAGGAACAATCCAAGAACAAGAAATAATAAATATATATGCACCAAATGCCAGTGTACCACCTATATAAAACAAATATTAATGGACAGAAAAAAAAATCAAATAAGCACTAACACAATAGGAACAGGAGACCTCAATACACCATTGTAACAAATAGCTAAATCAACTAGTCAAAAAATCAATGAAATATTAGTACTGAGCCAAACTTTTGAAAAGATAGTCAGTAGATGTTGAGAGTGTTCCACTCTATAACATCGACACACATATGCTTCTCAGCTGCACAAGGGATGTTCTCCAAAATAGACCACATACTAGCTCACAGAACATATTATCAGACCATAGTACAATGAAATTCGAAATCAACAGCAAAAGAAACCACATAAATTTCAAAAACACATGGAAATTAAATAGCACTCTGCTTTAAAAAAATGGGTCACAAATGAAATTAAAGAAATTAGACAGTTTTTATAATTAAAAAATAATAATACCACATATTGAACTTATGGGACACAATGAAAGCAGTGGGAAATTTACAGGAGTGAATACTCGAATCAGGAAAACAGCAAGTGTAAATACACAACTTAATGATGAACCTCAAACTTCTAGAAAAAGAGCAGCCTAAGCCAAAAGCCCATTCAATAGAAAAAATCATAAAGATCCAAGCAGAAATTAATGTATTGGAAGAGGTGGTTCTTTGAAAGATTAAATAAAATCAACAAACCCTTAGCCAATCTTATCAAAAAAAGAGAGACTCAAATCCATCTAATTAGGAATGAAAAGGGTGAAATCACAAAGGAACCTGAAGATGTGCCAGCCTCACCCCTGGGGCACACTGAGATGGCAACTGAGACTGGGCATGGTGGCTCAAGTCTGTAATTCTAGCGCTTGAGAGGCTGAAAATAAGAGGATCACTATGAGTCCAACCTGTGTAGTGAGACCATTAGATCCTGTGCTAAGTACATAAAAAACAAAACAAGCCAAAACCCCCCAAAGGAACCTGAAGAAATCCAGAAGATCATCTATACCTTTTTGAACTTGTATTCTAGTACGATGGAAAATGAAGAAGAAATGGACAAATTCTTAGCTACTTATGAATAACCAAAGTTGAATCAAGACACAAAAATCCTAAATAAAATAATATTAATCAATGAAATCAAAGATGTAATTTAAAAATGTAACAACGAAATTGGGAAGGTTAGAGAGAGTCTTAGAGAATGTCTAAATCTAATCCAGGTATCACAAGTACCAAACATAAAAACAAACAATTCTAAGCCTAAAATCTACACAGAACCTAACTCTTTAAATATGAAGAAGAAATAAGTAATTAGCTGTGATGTCATAAAATTGAAATTTGAAGTGAAACTAGCTACATTATTAGAATGAATAAAACAAAATAGTGGGAAGCATTATCATTTAGTTATAACAAGTAACACTAGTGTATACAAGGACAGAAAATAAAAGAATTGACAAACCTGCAAATTGCTGCTTTCAATGAATCCCAGGAGCAACTGGATCTGAATTTGAGAAAGTTTTACCCATACTGGACTTTCAGAATACCAGACGGATAGACACTCAAAGAGTAGCATGATATCCTCTAAAAGCTATTACAGAAGAAAAATTGAGAAATAAAGAGTTTTTTTTAAATGTACTGATCATGAATTTTCCCCAACATTAATAAAAATGACAAATATAACAAAACCAGTTTTGGGGCTTGCACTTGCCTGATAAACATAAGCATCACTGCTTACA